ACTACGATATCTAGTTTTATAGTAGGAATAAGTTCAGAGAAAACGCGAGTATAAATTTCGTAACATTAGATAATAGCTGTCACATATATACAAGATTTATATAGAACGCATTAGCAATCTGTCATCGATATATAAAAAACTGAAACGTGATGTTCATGAACGCTAAAAATATATATATATATATATATATAAGCGGAATGATTCTAAATGTCAAAGCTGTATTTCAAACGTATTGGATAGAATACTTTTAGACATAGTCAGGTCATGATTATTTCTTTTTGCTTCAATTACCGATTAAGATCCTATATATAATTAAAACTCTTTATCAAGACCAATTCGATAACCTTATATTTATATATAATAGAATAGTAGAAACACACTATGTTGGAATTAAGCAAAATTATACGTTGATGTTAATCATTTTCATATTAAATGTCGCATTTCCCGAATATAAGTGACAAAATGATGAATGCTAGACTATTTTTATCGAGAACAGAGGCTATTCTTTCAAGAAACTAAAAATAACTTGAAGCTTCGGTAGCCTATGAAAATCGTTTATATCCCGTGAATGAAAAAATTAAACTGGAATATTATGGAGTCTCCAGAATAAAGCAGAAAATAATTATATGATATTTAAAAAATGCTTTTTTTCATGATACTTGCGTCTCTTTATGCATAAAGTAATCGCTTAACAGTCGGAATTTTGCGAAACAAAAAGCTGTCTCAGTATTGAGACCGTAATGAGATAATGTTTTATATTCAAAGCTTTGCCCGATTTGCGAGTGTTGTGTTTCTCTCTGCGTCATTTAACTGCGCGTTATCCAATTTTGGATTTTTGGCACATGCCTGGTAAATCTGTGGCAAGATGCTCGTAAGTCGAAATTTGAACAGACGTTTGACGCGTTAGAAAGATTTTGTAAAACAAAAACCAATTGTAATCCGAAAATAAAGAGATAATATATTTTAGATCGATGGTATCCATATTAGTATTTCTTGTAGAAATTAATTCATCACTCATGCATATGTATAATCTAATCTTTGTATTATTATGTTAAATCAAGTAACTTAAATTTAAAACACTGCCTTATGTTTTAAATAGTAGACGATGACTAGAGTTTATGCTTAAAAAAAATTAACACAGCACTGTGCAACAATATTTTATATTGAAAAAAATTACTTACTTCGTTGTGATTGATTTTGGAATCATCGCAATCACCACCAGCAGTTAGATCTTGCTTTTCTGGATCAATTTCCTATAAAAAAGAAAAAGAAAATATAATCTTTTTAAAAATGTTTAAATATATATTTTATTTTTATCAAATGTTTTTTATTACGGTTAACTTTACTTCATTTTCTTTTAATAAAAAATTTTAAACCTATGTAAAATCTTTTCTTATTTTTATGTAATATTAATTAAAATACTTTTGAAAAAATTTAACTCTATAAATCTTCTCTTAGGCCGACGTCTCCTTTGAATAACTGCTTGTGTAGCTTGTGCGTTTCTACTGTCATTTTCCTTATCTTGTTCTATAACATAAACAAATTTCATCTTTTTACATAAATAATTAATACTACATAAATTAATACAGTATTTCTATTAATATGTACATAAAATTCCTGATTACATTCATTGCGTCATTAACATTCTGTAAAGTCTTACCTTTATCATCAGGTTGCTTTAACGATCTCCTAAGGGGTAAAGTAACTGTGGCTTCTGTACTACTAGTGGCAATAGTTTCCACGGGTGCTGATGATGGTCTGGGTACACCAGTTCCACCAGATGGTCTTCTCATATAGGCCGTTGTATTATCAATAGGTTTATTGTTAGCATCCTCTAACTGAAACTATACAACAAAATATATTAACATAAATCTTGATTTTTACAATGAGACATTTGTGATTTTTCATTAGTAATTAAACTTCCATACATTACACCTTCAAATGCATTTCGGCATCAATTATAAAGACAACCATGAACATTTGCGAATTAGTCGTAAATAAATAATGATTTTTTTATAAGCGCACACACCTTGCTTCCATTATCTACCCTTAATCTCCAAGACGGTCGTCTCTCAGGTAAATTAGATTCTTCAGAAACTTTATTCGCAGGAGTCACAGTAGTGGAGGTTGCGGTTGTTATCGTAGCTGTGATCGAAGCTGTATTGCTGACGGTGGTGGTGGTAGTAGTAGTAATAGTAGTAGTAGTAGTAGTAGTAGTAGAAGTAGTAATAGGAGGCTGGATTATTTAAAAAAAAAAAAAACATGAATAAAAATCATAATCTTAATTATAATTGTCATGCTAAGTTGCATTATCTTTGTGTATGTATAAGAATATAATAAAAAATAAAATATTATTGTATATACTCCCAATTTTAAGCAACACAAGTGCTTCATTGTGAATCAATCGTCTAGTTCAATTAAATCTTCATGAAATTTATTACGTTTAATCGTTAATGTTGCACTACATTCACTACTAATGCTCTCTCACACTGGAGAAGTCTTCATTGATATTTTTATACACCATTTAAAAAGAATTATTTCGAACATATCAGATCAGATAGTTAGTCACTTTTCTTCAATCACACGATAAGGTAGCGATAATAATACTGATATAATTTTTACCTGCGTGGATGGTGTTGATGTCGGCAATTCGTTGTTCTGTTGCTTTTTCTTTACTAATTGTTCCGCGCTCTTAATCTCGTCTAATGTCACACCTTGAGTAGATCTTCTGGTTTCTCTTACTCTCTTTGCATGAGCTTTTCTTTGGGTTTCACTTTCTTCATCGCGTACAGGTGGAACGAAGGATCTGTACATATTCATACAATAACATATAAAATATCAATTTACGAGTTCCAACAAGATACGCAATATTATCAGATTGTTTTATCTGTGCAATAAAAACAAACTTTTAGTAAGCATGTTCAACACAATTTATAAGCAATATCAAATAATTCAAAATATAACATAAAATAACGGAAATATATATATTCCTGTAAAAGAATAATTAAAATATCTCTTCGGTTTCAAGTACATTTTTGATGTTATATAATACATAATTTCAATTTCTTCCTTGTAGTAGTGTATTAATTTTGGTATTAAGTAGAAAATTTAAAAAAATAATAGAGCTGTAATGTTTAACATTATTGAAGAATTATTTTTGGTCGATTGTTTTCACAGAATATCGATTTTTGTTACGATGAACTATATTGAAAATATCATAAAGATTTTATAGTATATATTTAACAGGACAAATCGAAATAAAGTGCATTTGTGTGTGGCAGTGTAGATATTTATTTACCAGCTACGAGTAGGTAATATTTAGGTAAATTTAATAAATTCATATGTATGTGTAGTGGACAAGGTGACTATCCAAGTATATATAGGACAATTAATGTGCAAATAAAAAGAATAATCACACTGCAAAAAGCAAACTTCCATGCTACTGCCAACAAATTAACGTAATTAATACGTAAATATTTGACAATATGCAAAAGTCATAATATTTCAGGAGGATCTTCCGAGCAGTGAGTACCCACTTGAAGAAATTCTTGAAGAGATTTCCTGGACTTAGCTTGCTCCCTCCTGGTGTAGTGGGAGTTCCAGGAGCAGTTGTTACTGCATTATTTGTATTCGATATAACTGTAGATGCAGCTTCCACTGGTTGAACACTACCCAGCCACATTAATTATAACGCACAATACAGAATGTAAATACATGTGTGTCAATTGTGTGTACATGTGATAATGTATTTTAATGATGTAAATAAGTGCTTTTATTCCTACTAGAAAAACCCGCCTTAGAAAATTCCAAACATTTACATAGCATTAATTATGTAATAAAAGTAAAAATCTAAGCATTAAAATTTTTTATAGTTTTATGTAAAATAGTTAAAGTTGTGTTTAGAACATTTACTTCACGTAGAAAGATGTGAAGTCAAATATAATAACATATATGCACAAAAATATTACATGTAAGGATTCGATTTTAATTAAATTAGAGATATTGTAGAAAGAGAATAAAAAATTTTGCGGCTAATATCTTTCGTAAGAAAAGTGAAATACTGCAGTCCACTTGTAATTTTATGTAAAATAGATTAGAAAAAGTCATTTCTAACATTTAGACAATATTTAATAAGTGTGGATCATTAATATAAAAATTTCTTTACCTGCGAATTTGATTGACTGGAATAGGACTTGTTGTTGTAGTGGCAGTGGTAGTTGTTGTGATAGATGATAATAGACTCGATGCCAATGTTTTAGATGCAGATGTTGGTGAAAGTGTATTGCTTCCTTGTGGCAGTCTTGATAATTCCAAATTTAATTTTACGTCTTTTTTTCTAGAGAGTAAGAATAACATAAAATAATTTAAAAAAAGGGATAATTTTGTAAAGTAATAAAATATCAAAAATATGTATTTTAATAATGTTGTCATATTTAAAGAATATGATATTTAAAAAAAGAATTATTTTAAAATATGCATATATAAATTTTTATAAATAATTAATTTTGAATTTATTAAAAATTAATATCTTGATCTGATTTAATTTAAAGCTTTATAAGGTTTCAAGCTAGGCTAATAAATGACAAGCGACATTTAAAGCTCATTAGTATAGAACGTATAAAAAAAAAACATTAAAATCACATTTGTTACATCCTCACACACTTTCAAATAATACAAATTATATGATACTTTCGCAGCAGTCTACATATTATATAGTATAATCATGGTAAATGAGTTGGATAGAATTACCGAATTAACATAATTACAATTGGTATTGTACAAGTAAAAGCTGCAACATTAGAGGCATGCGACATATACCTGTGTGTTTCGCGTAGAGATGCAGAGCGAGTCGTAGCATTGGTGTGAGTAGGAGTAGCTGCATTGCAGCGATGGAGGGTAGGGCACGAGAACGCCTTGATGCGGGCACGTAATGCCAAATACTGCTCATAAAACCTGCATCACATGCATTACCGTGCCATGCATATCTCTACACTAGTTATCATAATAGTATAGGGACATACGTTACAAATACGAAACGCTAAGACTCATAATTAATGCGGACACGTGGAGTATGCATATTATACAATATCTTAGGTGGAATGTAGCACCGCTGTTAATAGCATTAAATATCTGCCGATATCATTAACAAATAAAAAAACACAATATTCCTACAAATATAAAGCTGCGAATTTATAATATAAAAAAAAAAGAATGATATACGATATATAAAGCAGAGACTTAATTGAACTTACTTTTCATCTGTTTCGAAACTATGTGTTCTTCTTAATACCACATCGGGTTCTCCACTAACTTTGTTTGGTGTTGTTGGTATTTTAATATTGTTATCCTTATCTTCAAGTTCTGTGAAATAATTAAGTAAGTTTATTAATAATTTAACAGAAAAATTCATGAAATATAATTGCATCATTCAATGAACATACTTGTAGATGCAGAATTAGTAGTTTCAGTACTTTGCATTCTATTTCGGAAGGAACCTGAACGTCTCCAAGATGGTACAACACCGTCCTCATTATTATCAGTCTGTTGTTTTGGAGGCAAAATTGGAGCCTTAAGAAAGAAAAATCGGATAAATAAGCAACAAGAGCTCATTATATAAGATTGTTCGAAAATACACACACACACACACACACACACACACACACACACACACACACACACACACACACACACACACACACACACACACACACACACACATATATATACATATAAAGATGATTCAATAGATGTCTTACCTGATTAGGAACTTTATTAGTTTCAACTGGAGATATTGGACTATGGGGTGCATTTTCATCTTTGTTTACTCTATTTTTCTTTTCTGTAAAGTAATTGATCAAATATTTTACTACACTATTAATTTTATAAAAAAAAGGATTTAAAATCCACTCTTTAAAGCAATAACCAATCCAGTAAGTTTCATTTAAGAGAGATATTCTGACACATTTTTATATAATACATGCAATAATAAGCAATAATTGGTATCATAAAAAAAGAAAGGGAGAAAAACGGTCTTACAGATCAAACTTACCGTCATCTGTAAGACATGTCGCGTGGTTAGACTTATCAGATTGATTGGAGAAAGTGGAAGAGTGTGATTCTGAGCTAGTCTCAGATTCACCTTCACCATCACTCTCTTCCATGTGTGTTTCACGTGTTGCTTCTGTCCATGCAGCAATGTTATAAGAAATACACATTACAGTTAACGGTAATATAAATTAGATTCGCAAAAGTGGAGAACAGGATAAAGATTTATGAGAAAATAGTTTGCAAAAGATAATTATACTCTTTCCTTTTCCTTCACATAAAAGATAAACATGGAAGTTGCAGAGTAGATAGTTATTTCATATCAATGTAATCATCTCTTAAAAAAAAAAGAAAAAAAAATTAAGTCCGAAAATTATATATATTATTAGAAAAAAAATGTAAACGTGCGGATTAGATATTCGTATATTGAAAGAAATAGTACAAATAGAATCTTACCAACGTCGCTGTTTGTACTAGTGCTGGAATCTTCTTTATCAGATTGAATCTCTAATTCAACCTTCTTAACTTTATTTGGCGTTTCTTCTTCAAAGATTTCTGTAGATTCTTGTGCCGCTACCGCATTATCAGCACTCGTTGAGAAACTGTAACATGTAGAGGTATATTAAGAGAAAAAAATAACGATTTATAATCTGTTATTTAAAATTATCATGTTGCTTACCGTTTCTTTGGTATAGACGATTGCTTCTTGTTATTTGTTTGTGAATTTTCTTTGATAAGTGCTTGTTGCTCTCTCAAATTTTCAAGAGCTTTAAGGATGTCTGCATCAGCAATATCAAAAGCAGTTTGATCCTAAAAGCAAAATACTGGTGAGAAAAGAGGCAAAAAAGAATAATATTATTAATTAATTATATATATTTAATTATCAGTCAAATCCACAGTCTGGATTCAGATTAAATTAATTTAAAGCTAGGAGATAATTTAATCCATACATAATCTATATAATTATTAGAAACATTAATTTTCTTACGGCGTAATTTTTCATATCCATATCACAGCCGTTTTCAACAAGAAGTTTGCAAGCTTCCAGTTGACCCCAATGTGCCGCACCATGCAAAGGCGTCCATCCATCAAAGTCCTGTGCATCAACATTGCATCGAGCTTGTAGTAATATGCTGCACATAAATATTAAAGAATTTAATAAAAAGAATCAATCCTAAATCTGCATTTAATATATTAGAATAATTATTCAATTTTTAAAATAATTCTATTTTGCATCGCACGTCATATGTTCAATACAACAGATGTAATTTTCTACAATATTCGTTTAGTTATATCTAACATCAAATAATCTCTTATTTTTAATTAAGATGTAATGTCTTACTGCATGACTTTGATGTAGCCTTTGGCAGCAGCGACATGAAGTGCCGTGGCTCCTGATCTCGGATGCATGGAATCTTTGCTTGGTGCACCTGACCGCCAAGCTTTTGCATCATTCAGCATTGAATGTTCCTCTTCGCTCCTAGCTTGATCACAATCGATGCCTGCATATCAAATTAAATTTATTATAAAAATTGAATTAAATTAATTTTGTATATTATTAATTTATAATTTTTTTTAATAAATCTGTATTTTGCAAATTTGTTTAATTTTTATTTTATCAGCAAATTCGATTAACTTCATAAGAAACATTTCATATCATAAATATTTCTATGCGAGTAGTTTTACACATGTAAGATTTGAATGATACATGGTATTGCTTAAGAGAATATTTCAGTACATTGTACGTAAAATTATATCAACATCACGAAAAGGGGTCAATGAAAGAGGATATCTTTGCCAACGTATGATTTGCTGTGTCTGAGCGTGTAAACTTCCAGCCGGATGTTGAATTTTAGGTGCTTATACGTTTTACATATGAAACGTTTATACTTAATACAGTTTTATGTATAACATCTTATAGCTTTGTAAAGCTGCTTAATACTTGAATAAAGAAGTGATGAAAAACGGTGGCTAATAGCCACTTACATAGTTAAATTGTTTGTACAATTATCACAGCAGAGATATTTCAGTACTAAGATTTCCAGCTCTGATTTTCCTCGGAAATCTATAATTAAAAGTTTTACGCAATAGAGAGGCCTCAGACATCCTGCAGATATACATATAAATACAAACCTGCTTTATTTATATGCTGTTGGAGCATGTCTTCCATCTCGTCGCTTTCTGCAATATCCAGCGCCAGTTCACCGTCATTGTTTACTGCTGCCAGATTACATCCTTGTTCTATTAAGTATCTACAATATACACAATTTTCCATTTATTGCAATACACGTGATTGGTACATTTATTGATAAATTATATACATGTATAAAATCTAAAGAAAAATAGTTTAAAGTTATGTAAAAACTATACTAACTTTGCAATAGATATAAATCCACAAGATGCTGTGGCATGTAAGGGCGTCCAGCCTTCATTATCTCCACGATTGATATCCGCTCCTTGTTCCACCAAAAACTCCACCATATCCAGGTCATCATCAATGCAAGCCTGTTATAATAATATGTTAATATAATATATCATACGCGCTGATTACATCAACATGCGTGAGTATACAAGTTGGACAAGAGTTGAAAAGCGTGCGCGATTGGCAAGATGTATTTCGAGGTCTCGGCATCGAGACCACCAATTTTGCTCGGTCTAGTCAACTCTGGTCGCAATCCAAGGCTCGAATCGACGTTATGTTATAAATGTGCTATTTTGGTTACGTCACTACTTTTTGAGAGAGACCCCTTGAATGGAAAAAATATTTCTATTTGATAATGGAATGTTTTATTGTAATGTGTATAATTTTTTTGAAGGAATTAATTGTCAACATATATATTTTCAAATAGCATCATGAAATAAAATATATTTAATCAGAATCTTCGTAGATACTTAACGCCCAAGTCTTTTCGTAATAGATTGATAAAAGTATGAGTTATTCTTTATGTCATTCTCCGTGTGTAAATTTTCATGATTTTGATATTATCGAAATAAAAAAAAATGAGGTACATGTTACAACATTGCTAGACACAGAGAATTTAAACTGAACACAGATGCTGCAGCCTGTGACTTCTAACAGAGAGCTATAAATAGCATTTGATGCCTGATGTATTTTCACATTCTATTTTCGCAAATCCATGAAATGCCTTAACTTCCTTCCTTCTCGCTTAAATAACAGCCATAAATATCGCTTCACGTTATGGAAAATGTTATTCCATTTAATAAGATTTGTATAAGACTCTCTACCACTATTACTACAATAAATAGCTCCTTACATTTATGTCATTATATTGCGCTACATTTTTACAGTTTCTTTAAGTTTCATCAAGAAATCGTTAATGGTTGTTAATTAATTTAATTAATTAGCGAACGTGCGTTAAGAGATATAATAATTTACAAATACATAAAACGGATTATTATTATTATTTTATAATTGTAATTTTGTATTAAAAAGAATATCGCGCATTATGATTTTTTATAACCCGCGAGATTTGCTTATTTAAATAATTTTTTTTATTGCAGGATATAATTATTCTTTTCTCCTCAGAAATTCTTACACGCCAACCGACCTCTTCTTCTCATTAATTATATCCTCATTAGTTACTTAGTACTGTAATAACCGTTATGGTATATATGTATGTACGATGTCCCGGATTACCCAGTTGCATCCGCTTTCGGAAACACCCAAAAATAGATTGCTCGTAAAAGCTTACTACTCGCGAAAAAAAGTTATCAATATGAAAATTGGCTCTATAATATCTAAGCATGTCTCAGAATGGTATTATAGCTACAAATTCTTTAAAAATCAGCACGTAGAATTAATTTTTGTTTCACGATAAAGTTTTAATTTCAATCTCTTGATTTTTTTAACAACTAGAACTTACAATTAACTAAAAGATAAATGGCAATTGACAAACTGTTGCAAAAGAGAGAAAAATATTGAGATTACAGAAAGTTTTTTAAAATTATTAAGTAAATGTAAAACAATCATGCAATCAAATTATTCAATACATAACAAATCAAATATATACTGTTTTAAACACAATTATATATGTATAATACATCCATTTTTTTAAATCAAAATATGTTGGTCTCAGTTATTATTTCGTAATCCAACAGACGTAATAAGAATTTTCAATTGTCAGCATGCTTCACAAAGGAGAATATAAACTATGTGTTATAAAATAAACAATATATTTTAACGAACGTAAATAATATTTAAAAAAAAATGGGATAAAATTAACTCTAAAACAACTGTTCATTATAATAGCAATTAACTTTTGAAATTGAAGATTTGTGAATTGCAGCTGTCAGGCAACGTAAAACGGAAAAGTAAATAAAATATTTCTGAGAAATCGAATAGCATACTACTATTATGTAATTAAATAAACTTTTAGAGAATAAATAATAGACATTTGTAAAAAAAATTTAATTCATTCTTAGAATACATTTTGTATATAAAATTCTATGATTCCTTTATTTCAATGAATTATACTTTCGTGATGCTTGGAGCTTAAAATCTAACAAAACTTGATACACAACGTTATGTGTACTTTATACATATATTTCCTCTGTCAGGCCCATTTCCACCAATGTACAGATCGATTTTAATCTCGGTTTAATTTATTCTTTATCATTTTCTAATTCTTAGAGGTAGGAGAAGATAAAAGCGAATTAAACAGAGATTAAAGTTAATCTATTTATATTAATAGAAACGAACAGAAGAGAAATTAATAACAATCAAATTTTGACGAATGCCAAATAAAATGACTGACAATCAAACAGCATGTTGTAATGTTGCATTTCAAAATAAAATACAAACTCAATTATTAAAATGTTAATTGCATATTCAAAACAAAAGATCATGATATTTCCATGTTTATTCTGATTGCGTGAATATAATACATTCGAGTCACGGCAGCTAAATGCAGGACGTCAAAACATCTTGCAATAAAATTATTAGCATTTCGATTACACAAGCGACATATTACCTAAAGTAACCTCCTCACTAATACATATAACATAGTAATTAACGTCTGAAAGCAGACGTTACGTTTGCGATCGGCGTGACACGGTCTTTTGATGGGATTGAGAGAGAGAGAGAGAGAGAGAGGAAGAGGGGGGGGGGCTGTTTCCTTCAACACCGGCGTCAAATTAAACGACGACAGCAATCGTAAACACACCCCCGTGGATAATATTCGAATGTCGCGAATTATACCCATTCTAATATTTCTATCAATGTAGATTAATTTGAATTTTTCATCTCTAATATATAGACTGACTTTAATATCAGTTTAAAATTTACTCTTCGTTCTTTTTTTATCCTAACGACTAAAAAGAAGGAGTAAATTAAACGAATATTAAAGTTAGTCTGTATGGATAGAAATAGACATATCTTTCAATTACATTTACTCTTTATCCTTGATTAATTCTTAGACCCAGGTTGACCAATATAAGATTAACTTTAATCTCGGTTCAATTTACGCTTTATCTTCTTCTAATTGTAAAAATAAAAAAAAAATAAACAGTTAAATTAAAAACTGAGATTAAAGTTAATCTTACATTGATGGAACTTGCCAGGCCTTAGAAATAGATAAAAAGTAAATGTGAAAATCAAGATTACTCTCAACTATAATTATAAAAATTATATCTAAATTCTAAAGTTATAATTTTGTTTAAAGTAAGTACAGAATAGAAGTAAATGTTCGTTTTACCATAATTTTTATAATAATTGATAAAGGAAGGTTCAAAAAGTTTAATTTACATATACAATTTAAAACTCCATGATACCAATCGTATAGATTATATATACAATCATCCAAAAATATTCACTTCAGGCCCAAATAACTCATTGTTGTAGTCATGGGTTAAAGTTAATCTACATTGGTAGAAACGGGCGTTAGACAGCTGGAGCTCGTAGAAGCCATCTTGCAGAATTACATTTACGCGGGAGGGAGGGAGGGAGGATAAAGGAAAGAAGACGTTGGGAGGATGGCAGAACGCTTTCCGGGGAGGAGGAGGGGAAGACTTGAAAGAGCTGTCAAAATCAGTGGGACGCCGGAGAGGTGTCAACGAGAGAGACGCGTGTCCAGCGAGAAGCACCCTTAAGCAGTACCTGGTGCAACGCGGTGAGGCCGTCGACGTTTCCAGTGTTGATGTCCGCTCCCCTCTGCAGTAGACGCACGACCTCCTCCTTGTCGCTGGCCGCGCACGCCGCCAGGAACACGATATCAGCGGAGAACTTGATCTTGCGCGCGACTTGGCGCGGTTCCGTGGGTTCACGATTCGTCTCGGACTGCTCCCAACGCTTGAGCTGTTCGGCTCGCTTGAACAGGGCCGAGCTCGAACGTGTCTCGAGAGACATTGCCCCGACGACGACGGCGGCGGCAAGGACGGCGGTGGTGGTGGCGGTGGCGTTTGCGGCGGTTGCGGTGGCGGCGGCGACGACAGACGGCGAGGAGAAAAAGAAAAAAAAAAACTCGCGTCCTCCTCTTCTCAAGGGGGCAAGGCAGAGAAGCGGCAGGCTGCTCCTATAATCGCTCCTCTTGTCGCGCGCACGGGCTTCTCTCCTTCTTCTCGCTTGGCACACACGCGCGGCCGCGCACCACACATGCAAGCTTACGCTCGCTCCCTCATTCACTCGCACTCGTTCTTTAGGCCCGCCGCTCCCGTTCCCTCGCAGCCTATCCTCTCGTCCGTTTCGTTCCCCCTCGCTTCCTTGCCCGTTGCCCTTCGCCGCGCGCCCTTCGAGGCTTCTTCCACTTTGCTCTGCACGACGACGACGATTACGACGATGACGACGACGGTGGCGGCGACTGCGCTACGTGAACGCACACGCACGCACGCACGCACGCACACACTCGCGTTTCACTGCGCGCGATACGACACGTGAAACAGGCGTTTCCCGCGATTCTGCTCCATATATGAGATGATATGAGAGAGCGGAGCACACCCGGGGCCCGTGTTCCCGTTCGAGTGTTATTGTCGATCGCGCCGGAGTCTCACGCCTTGACGGGGTTACCCGGAGGGAGCGGTCGTGCACGATCGCCTTCGGTCGGACACCACCTCTGCTAGGCACTCATTTACGGAACGGCTTAGATTCGCGTGCTCCACGCTATTCTTGGCCGCGCTCCCTCGCGCTCCATGCCGGACAGGAGGCTCGAACACGAAACTCTCTCGGACGTGATCGCGTCGTCGCCAACGGCGGCCAACCATCGTTGTCCCTGAACAAATTGCGGCTAGGAAATTTTATTGGCGAGTGGCGACATCTTTCTCCCCACGAAGCGAGGTCTCTTATTGGATGCTCAAAAAATTCCTTATATAAATAGATCGTATGTTTATTTGTAAAATTTAGTTTTTTATACGTCTATTTATCTATTTATTCATTTATTTATTTTACTTAACAGATTTTAGTCTCGAAATGCAATAGTATAGGCAGGTATTTATAAGTCCGTTCTTATTTCAAGATCGTCTTATGTTTTAAAATGTTAATACGACTCTCTGATTGGTTCGTAACATTTTTAGCTGTATTTTAGTCTATTGCAGCCCTCCCCTTTAATCGTTTTTAAACGTTAAGACTTTTTGCAAATTTTTCCTCTTATTACTACATTCTGGAATTAAAGTTTTTTTTTTCCCAAAAGATCATACTTTTTTAAATGTAATTGAGTAAAAATCAATTAACATATTTTCAAAGTTAATAAATAATTTAATCCTTTTAATCATATATTCTTTATTATCATGATAACGATAATCATCATAACAGTAACCTTAGAAAGGATTACATCATTTATTAACATTAGATCGTTGCTTGAAATCCCGACAAATATTTGAACTTAAAATGAAATAAGTATATATTTATGTTAAAAAAAAGAGAGCGAAGACACTTGAGTGCCGCCAAAACAGAGCTAGTGTTGCACTAAACAGCGTGCAATGGGCACAAATCGCACTTTATTCCCTAGCTGATGTTTCTGCAATGCCTGGCATTCGTAAATTACGATGCATCTTCCCATCCCATCCAACTATTATCTTGAGTAGCACATGATTCATGCCGTAGTACTTGTTCTTTTTTTTCCTTCTTCACGCTTTTTCATCACCATGGGATATATAATTTTGATTTTCCCGAGACTCATCGTCGATTGAAGGTTAATTGTTCCGTCTTTAATAATTCTAAGCTAGGATAAGTCGCGGCAAAAATTGGAGCGCGATCGGCTAACGAGATGGATACCGAACACGTACTGAAGAACGACATCGGGCATTGTCTGAAATTGATAGTGTCTGGAGACAATGCAGCCGTTAGTGACGGTTGGCTGATGCTACAGAACTTGCAGGACCGTGAACTCGTCCAGTTAATCGATTGCGAGGACACCCTGAGGAATATCCTCCGTGGTAAAATAGTGAACGTGTCAGAGGTGCCGAAAATCATGGCCTGGATATCAGGACACATCTTGGAGAAACGTTTCAACATCAATCCCATTTCGAACGATGTCGCCCTACTGCTGCGAAACACGGATATCAACGACATGTCGCACCTGACTGAGCTTCTCAATACATTGGCGGAACACAGGGCAGCATACCTGCCCCGGTCGGCGAATCACACGAAGCTCTGCGAGGCAATAGTCACAAGTCTGTCTTCCTTTCAGATGCCCTTGGAGCCGAAAAAAATATCCGAGTTCTATGACAACACCACTAAGATACAGCATTTTCTCAAGGGACTGTGTTCAAACATAAAGAACGGCGAGCGCGACAATCCAATGTTTACTTGTCTCGAAACTTTGTACAATATTATATCTGATACAAACAGAAAGCAGGAGCCAGGCCCAGGACTCGCTACCATATTACAGCTTGTAGAAGCTTCTGTTATTCCACAGGCAGTAGACTGGATCCTGTCTCAGTCCCACACCGACCATCAACTGATACAAGCTTTAAAAGTTCTGTGCAATTGGCTACCGAAATGGCGTGAAGATCGACTGAGCGTTTGGATTATGGAATTTATACGTGGTTTAGAGAAACAACAAAAGTACTCTACTCTTCTTGAACTTACAGAATCATCGATAGATATACTAGTGTTAATGTGCAGCATATTGCTAGTACCAGTAATCCGTCAAAATGCTTCCAACATTATATTTTACATCCTAAAGCGGCAAAGCTCATTGTCATTTGTTCAGAATGTAGTTAAAAGGATACCGGCATTGATAAAAGACCTGATGAAGGAAGATTCAGATTCCAGTAAAGAATGCATACAGAATTTGGTCGATATCATGAAAGTTTATAGCAAGAGATTTTCTACTTGTATGCCATGTGGAAATACAGATAACTATCTTTATCCCGTATTACCGCGAATGCATGTTGTCAAAGAACTTTGCAGAGAGTCAGTGTGGATAGATGAGACAAAAGAGTTTGAACCAATTGTGGAACCAGAAAAGCCATTGTCTGGAAAAGTTGGGCTGTCCAATTTGGGAAATACTTGCTATATGAATAGTGTATTGCAAGCCTTATTAATGACCAGACAGTTCTGCCAAGAAGTATTAAATTATCGCTCTTTAAATGAATCTGGTAAAACGCCTTTGCTGGAGAGACTTCAGAATTTGTTTGCATTACTATTGTATTCTAATAGAATATGTTTGGCACCAACCGAGATATTACGAGCGTCACGACCAACATATTTTTTACCTGGACAGCAACAGGACAGTTCAGAATTTCTCTGGTTAGTATATTGTTTTGCTTGTATTATTTTTGCTCCAAATTATAAAATTAAAAAGTTTTATTTATTAAATTAATACATAAATACAAATTAAATGTTACTAAAATTCATAAATAAAACAGTAAAATTTATATTTATTTTCTCATTATATATATATATATATATATATATATATATATATATGTTTATATACATATTTAACTAACTACTAATAAATCTCTTTTTCTAGTCATCTCTTGGATCTCCTGCACGAGCAAGAAAAATCTGCTAATTCAAATTGTGGAGGAAATGATAGCGCAGCAACTCTTAAATGTAAAATTGAGAAACAGGAAGACGACGTAACATTGGCAATGGAATCAACAAAAAGTAGTATTAAACGTTGGACAACTGAAGAAGATTTAACAGAAGGCTTGGCTTTACAACGGAAAACACAATCATTGGCGGATTTCACACGAGGTAACTTTTGTTTATACATAGTTAAATAAATTATATATATGCTCTCGCGCGCGCGCGAAATCTTCCAATTTTACTGTTTGTATTTACATCACAGTTAAATGATATATTTTGTATTTGACTTGAACGTTTGAATGTTTTGTAACAGGTGAAGAGCTAGGACAACGACTTAGCGATTCTCATTCGGATTCGACTGACAGCGGTATACAATCCGTAGGCGGCGAAGAAGCAGGCACTTACACATCTCTTGTACACAGGGTACTGGGCGGAGAGTGTCAGATCACTTATCAATGCGCACAATGTGACACTAGTTCTCGCAATACAGACAAATTTCGCGATCTGCAGTTGTGTTTTCCCGAAGAGATACAGGAGAAGCAAGAAGTTTCCGTTCAAGATCTCATTAACTATTATCTCACACCGGAGAAACTTACGGGGGAGAACAAGTATCGATGCGACAAGTGTACGAAATTATGCGACGCGCAGAGGATCATTACGATTCTGCAAGCACCCGCACACTTGATTCTAACGCTGAAACACTTCCGATATGATTTTGATTCTCGATTAAGGACGAAACTTCGGCATAAAGTAGTATATAATGATACTATACAGTTGCCAGTATCAGCGATACCATATACTGTAGCTGAAACTTATCACTTATATGCTGCTGTTGTGCATTCTGGATATAGTATGGATTATGGACATTATTTTACATATGCTTGCGATTCCAAGCAGAATTGGTATAAATTTAACGACAGTTTTGTAACCCAAACTACGTTTGAAGACTTCAAGAGCTTGAAACCTCCCGATACACCCTATATATTGTTCTACGAAAAATCGGGAGCTCATGATGGGATATATGAAGACGACAAGCCCGAATTGTCGACTTTAAGTAAACGTTTACAGAAATTAATAGGGGATGACACTACGGATTATATAGAGGAGCTCAGACGTCGAGCTCAGGCATCACAGCGTAGTCAACTTCCAACAAAACCTTTGAGACAGCACAACAATACCGATGATGATAACCCACCACCCAGTAGCTGTCGCGGTGCAATCGACGTTCCGGCGAATCGCTTTCTTTATTGAACAAAAATATGTTACACGAACCGCAAAAAATCTTGCCAATTGCAAACAGCTTTGTATTTGTTCTAAATATTTTATATATATATATATATATATATATATATATGTATACATAAAAAATCACACAGCCACATCGTATATAATCAGAGAAAGGTGCGTTTTATGGTTCTATACCATATCGTATCGTTGTAGAAAACTTCATTAAGAATTGATATTAGATTTTACATCTTACATTTACTAAATGGAACATACATATATCACTATACATGTACATCACTATTTTAACTCGACGACAATTACGTTGTCTGGAAAATAGTTATGGCAGCTATGCGAGTAGTGTAAAGTGCAATCAGGACTTGAATCTGTGCAAAACGGATATGTACATAAAATATAATGAATATATATGCGAGTGATAATTACATGAATGAACAAATAGGTTCGTACATATACGAAAAATAGAATACGTATTAAACTATAAAATAAACTAGTGTTTTTATTTATTAGTTATTAGTAATGTATTATAATGTGTTCAGCATCTTTTCAAACAAGTTTGGTTGTTTTTAAACTTACGCGCTATTAAAGAGAATTATATAGTCGAATATCTCAAGTTTTATTTTTATCATCACATTTTTATAAAATTGTACATTAATTGTGTGAGCATACATGCGTGCGCGCGCGCGCGCGTGTGCATGTGTATGAATGTACATGCGTGCGTACATGCGTGTGTGAACATAACTAAATTATATTTCCTTAATATAACATTTCTCATTTTACCTCAGTAAATATGTTAATTATTTTCAAATCAACTATAATTGTATTACATGCAAAGTAATTACATTAATTTTTATATTATTTATATCATTAAAAATGTATTATATTTTTCTCTATGTAATATTCGTCTTTATTTATTTAGTACATCTGGAAAAATTTGTTCAGTAAGCGTTTGAAGTACTACTTTGTATAATGAAAAAAAAAGTTTCTGAGAATGTTGACGTTTGTTTTCTTGATGATACCTTGTTGTTTGATTTATTTCTGAATTATTTTATTAGAAATTAAAAATCAAGGGTGAGCAAATAACAAGAGAGAGAGAGAGAGAGAGAGAGTGCCTCACTCTACTACAAAATATTACAAAATTCTACTGATAAAAATTTTTTAGTATGTACACATTTTATCGGTAGGTATAGTATTCCTTTATGTCGGTAAAATTTTGTGAAATTTTGTGTACGAATTTATAATATGTATATGAATTCTGCATAAAAATAAATTCCTCAATAATTAAGTAACGCAAATTTTATAAGAATAAACTGGTTACTTAATTATACGTATATATAGAACATGTTCTGATGTCACAAGAATATCATGACATCGTTAACTTAAAAACTGATAACTTGAACAGATTTTATAATACTCTGTCGTGAATTTTATATATTTATTAAAGGAAATATCATTCACGGAGTGTTTGTGTGAGTTACCAATGTTGTTATGAAAATATTAAGAAAAAATGAGATACGATCATCGGCTGTGGTTCTTTATTATATATGTGTTGTAATTTTATTACAAAACAGTATTTAATAGTTACAACACATTACCTGATTTAATATTGTTGTAAATGTTACGTTGCGTAATTGCTTGTAAGCTTATTAAATGCACCTTTTCGTAAAAAAAATGTAATTTATAAGATAAAATTAGTGTAATTAATAGGGATGTATATATACTATATGTAAAAGCATATACATCTTTTTATTAAAATATAATGTATGCGATATTTGTCTAAATGTGCCACAACGAGATTTTATTTATCGACTTTACTTTCATCTACTTATCTTCAAAGTTTTATCAACCTTTACTAATTATAATGCAGAGACTGTTTTTCAAAGTAACAGTTTAACTCATAATATTATATTTGAATATGCTTATTAAAAAATTATAACAAAACTAAAAGTTCTTTATGCTTCAGAATTAGAAAAATTGGAAGAATATATTTGTTATTATTATAAATAGTTTATATTTTTTAATTATAAGAAACTGCGCACAATATTCCAAAACTTTCCATAAATCTGTGATAACTTTTTACTGTCGAATTGACACAATATTAATTTTTTTAACTAATTGAAACGAATACACGAACTGTTTTTTTAATTTATAATATAAAAATAATTTATAATATAAAATATTTAGATAATATACTATGTAAAGTTTGTGTTAAGAGTGCAGTGTTTTAGTGAGTATAGTTAATGTTACATAATATTGGAATAATTAAATTTATGTTTGTCAAAGAGAAAAGAAAAGTTCATTTATTGTCAATATATCAACTAATATTAATATTGTGCTGATATTAATACGTATATATCTAGTACTAAATATTTAACGTACTATAGTTTGCTGAAAGATTAATATGTAAGCTTATATATTAATTATAATAAATTTCTTTAAAATGTTACAAAGTAATTATGTTGCTTTTTGTTGGCATTTTGTTATTTGTTCTTTTTTAATCCATCTATATATATATACTTATATATGTATATAATATTGATAATTATTTAATTCAGATACGAGATATTCTGATATATGTATAATAATAATATGATAAAAGGAAACCAACAAAGTTATTTTATTAATATTTTACAATATATATATATATGTTAAATATATACATATATGTATATGTGACATATAAAATATTGAAAATATAAATTTACACAATTGATGCACAACACGATATTTAATGATGAAAACAGATTATATTATATTTTTTGAATCTTTTAAAAATGCGTATTTAAAAGACGGTTTTTAATTAAGTACAGCCTTAAAATGTCATAAATGACATCAATCCGTAATCACAGGTTGGTTTTCTCACATAGTCGGTTTTTATATTCAAAGTTATCTTAAGTACGGTTTTAAGATCATAAATCAATCAGAACATCTTAAGCCATTAAGACCGGCATTTATAATGTTCTCATTTCCAGTTTTTACTTCCAGACTTTCTTATGTAATGTCTCTAAGATATGTTAATATGGCTCTTTGATTAGTTCAAACGACTATATTTAATATAGTCTTAAATATTATTTAAGTTACCTATAAATTCTGGTTAAAGAATCATATTAAAATCAATATTATCTAGAAACTAATAAATTAGTTTTCCTAACAATTTCATAAAATGTTTAATAAATATTAGGACATTAATATTCAATATTGTTTTGTTTGCTAATGGCATCTTTGATATTAATCTGTTGATACACTTTAGATAAAGCTGATAAGATATTATCTACATCTAAATAAGAACTTCGTCTATCATCGTTACAACTCGATCATTTGATATTTGTACGCGACAAATGGTTGTATCGAAAACATGAAGAAAGTATATCTCGCTGCTATAGCAGGTACGCCATTGGGATAAAATTGGATAAAATCTTGTCAGACATGGACTTTAATATTTTATTAAGCCAATTTTAAATTAAAATATTTCTTTAGCTGTAGAAATAAACGTCTTAGAATTAAAAAAATTTCGTTAGTGAAATTAACGAATAGAGAGAACAATTTTTCAAACAAAATCTATAAAAAATCATTATAAATTAACTTTATAAAAATTGTCTTCTTCTATTTAATTAATAAAATTTTTGATATATATTAAAGCTTCTTCAAAAAACCTTATATTTATTAATAGGAAATCTAGGTTCGCTGTCAGCGGGGTTAAATATGGGGTGGGCATCGCCATCCATGCCTTTACTGATAAATGGTGATGATGCTGGGTATCCTGTGCGTTTGAACTTGGCAGGAATCTCTTGGGTGACATCTTTATTTATTCTCGGTGCTGCTCCGGGTTGTATTATTTCTGCATTAACAGTAAATACCATCGGCAGAAAAAAAACTATGCTATCTTCGGCTGTGCCTTCGATAATTGGCTGGTTACTGATAATCTTCGCAACATCATCGTGGGTAATTCAGTGATAGCTATACACATTTATTGAGTACAACATCCGAATACTTTTACAAAATATGTTGGATGTGTAAATTATAAAAGCATTAAAAGTTAAAATTTTAAATATTTGTGAGTAATTATATCAATTCGATAGATATTATATTAGTTTATAATATTCAGAATCCTGATTGTTCTTATCTTTCAAACAAAGTTCTTTCAAGTTCTTTTTTCAATTTCTTAAAGTCTAGAAGTATGTACATTTCAGCAGTACATTTAAATTATAACTCTAGCATATAATCTACTTTTCTTGAATCTCTTTAAATATTTCGCGACTTTCAGTTTAAATTCCAGACTCTCTTGCGACTTTATCTCGTTGTAATATGAAATCAAACCTAAAATCTCAATCTTTAATTAACAAGAAATGTTTTTCTTCTTAGCAAAGCCTTCATTTGATAAGCTCATACAACGTGATTTGTATTTCATTTGATTACATTGAAATAAAAAAATGCTGCTATACATTCATGACGAGTTCAAAGGGCAGCTATACTGACCTACAATAAGTAAGCAAGTATATATGGTAGCTTGTGTTGTGTAAACTAGATATTTGCTTCGCAGGATCTATATATATCGAGGTTTTTATCCGGAGTGGCTATGGGCATGATAGTTACAATCGCGCCGATGTATTTCGGTGAGATATCGCCGGCTGACATTCGCGGTTATTTGGGAACCATGCTGATAGTCGCTACGAAACTTGGTATTTTGATCGAGTTCACAATAGGTCCGTTCCTTTCGGTGAGAAATCTCGCCCTCATCTCTTTGATGGGACCTTGCCTGTTTGTGGTCACTTTCATCTGGTTACCAGAATCTCCGTATTACTTCATGCGCTGCGACGCCAAGCAGAAAGCAATAAACTCCCTTGTTGAATTGAGAGGCACACAGGATGTCTACAAAGAGGCAGATACTATTGAGCAATCCGTAAAAGCCGATTTGGCTAACAAAGCTGGACTCCGTGAACTCCTATTTGTGTTGGGAAATCGCAGGTAAGACATCACATTTTCATCTATCATTATTAGATCTGTTTTCTGTGGCTGTACTAGTGTACTAGTAGTATTTTGGAATTTAAAGTGAGATAGATATATGTTTGATATTTGGCAAAAATGAGAGAGTTCTAGTGTAGACTGATGCAAAATAAAATACAGATCTGTCAACAATTTTAGCCAAAATTTGCAGAGATAAATTTTAATCAGAATATATTATTAATTTCTGATGACAGAAAGATATCAAACTTCACATAGATGAGTTTGTAATATTTATATCCGACGATCACGGTAAATTGCCGGAAATTCCCGTTAAAAAACTGATAAAAGACGATAGGAATCTATTATAATATCTGCCAAAAATCTTATCGTTTGTCTGTATCGTTTTACTCTTTATATTCCAAAAGAAGTGTTATCGTTTCCTATCATTTTTTATCATTATCTGGAAACGGATTTAATCCGGATGGAATTATGATAGCAATCTTATAGGAATTTATTATTCTTTATAATTTAGAAAGAAGATCTGTTATTTTTAATAATTTCTTAACGCGACGGATGATTCAAAATTTATCTTATAAAATTACAACAGAAATTATTGTGTAATAGATTATACAGTCACAACAATAAAAGTGAATATTTTTGCATCACATTATTATAATTAAAAAGTATTGTTATATTTATCATGCATGAATGTTACACAATTCAAAACATATCTTGTAAAACAATGGAAGTCGGAATGTACGCGAGCATTACGTGGTTTTGTTATCAAATGAATCCGGCGGAGTTCTATTTCTTTATAAGTAAAATATACCACACATACAACGCGTATATAGCATTATGAGATTCTTCATTAATATTTTTAATAAAATGATTCCTCGATAACAAATCCTGAAATTAAGTTTGAAGACGACAGTAAATAAAAGTGTCTTCGCGTTTCTAATTCTGTAACAAAAATTAATTAGAAATTTGATAATTCTTGAAAATTATGTGTGTAAAAATATGTTAATATAATAGTATCTGAAATATTATTACCAGACATCGAAACTTATAAAATTATAAATTTCCATAATACTCATTATTTAGTTTACTAAGAAAAATAGTAAAATGTAACATGTAAAGTTATGAAACGAAACGATGAAGAATTATTTATGGATTGACGATAAATGCTACGATTTTGAATGGAAAAAAAATGATAAAGAACGATAATCTAACAAATATAGGATAATTATGAAAGAAAACGACAGAGAATCGTGGATTTACGATATTCTTTTGTTAATTTCCGATTCATAAGCATAAAATACCGATTTAAAAGTAAATTCTATCGTTTCTTTTGATTTTTTAAACAGGGATATGGCAATACTTGTTTAATATGCTACAATGCGGATCTGCGGTAAAAACGAGCGGGATTTGCAACTCCTGCTCGATTTCTACTGCCACTGTCAGTCTGTCGTCATTATCCGCGCATTATTCTGCTTGCTCTCTGCCATCAATTTACTGCAGTATAACATATCAGCAGACTCTGTCGATATTAGATTCTGCATTTAATGCGAACACACAGATTGCTATGGATCTGCAGTGGGACTCTAACCAAATTTACTGTCAATCTGCCAGCAAACAGTTTGCGGTTATTCGCGAATCAATATGAAATATTCAGTTTTCTTATCATGACATCATAAATTAATATTAAATTATATTGGTAAAATATTAGATAAGTAAAAAAATTTTATTATTAATAATATTTAAGAGACTCGGAGTTATAATAACTTTTAGTAAAATTAAAACTATCGTTTTATTAACTGCAGTATCAATGATTTAATTGATAAATTCAATTGAATAATTTTACAGAGCTCTAATATCTTTGATGTGCCTGGCCATATTTCAACAGTTGAGTGGTTCTCAAGCCATATTGCAGTATGCTCAAATAATTTTCGATAAGATGGACAGTAATCTGGAGGGCAAATACTTTACTATGATAATAGGCGTTGTGCAGTTAACTTGTACAATCATCTGCATGTTCATCACCGATTGCAGCGGCAGGAAATTATTGTTGACGATCTCTGCCATCGGTTCGGCGTGCTCCACTGCCATGGTCGCAACATATTTTCATCTTCAATACAATTACGTGGATATCAGTAATATAACGTGGTTACCCGCTACAGGTGTAATCCTATTCATAATTATGTATGGCCTCGGTATGTCGGCCTTACCGTTCACCATGGCCAGCGAATTGTTCTCCATGAACGTAAAGGCTCTCGGTACTATGATAGGCATGATGACAATGGCAATTGCAGCATTTGTTGTGACGAACTTATATCTGATCATAAGTGAAGCTGCCGGTGTGCATACGCCGTTCTGGATATTTACCGCGTGCAGTTTCGTTGGTGCTTTATTCACGTTTTTCTACATACCTGAAACTAAAGGCAAAACGTTGGAACAGATACAGAATAAACTGCATAATCCGTCGAAATGAAAAGAATTTGAGAACGAAATATACTTGAACGTGTTAATCTTCTCTCGATGAATATTTGAAGAATATTCGTTTACAAAATGTTCACGTTTTATCGACGGAAGCAAGATCGAAAAATCTTTCGAGTAAAATCTAGTGGAAGCTCAGTAACGGATAGTTTTTAAGCTATCAAAGTGCATCAAAGATGTAAAACAGAATATTTGGTGTTGTAGATTTACCTTAAGAAATCTCATTTTTAAAAAATTTAATGGAATTAGATCTGACGAATATTACAAAAACATAAGCAAATTCATATATATAAATGATAGTTATACGAATGAGCAAATACCTTCATAATAAATTCTTTTTGATAGTTAGGATAAACCGGGGAGTCAAGGATCCTCGGGGAAAACGGTCCACCACTTGTATCTCGGTAATAACGCATTTATTAGAAAATTCCGTCACACAGTTCGTTGCCGCCTGGTATCTCTCAGGAAGCTTGCACGGATATGCCCGCCCTTGTAGAAAAGTACTGAGCACTAGGAGATTTTGAGGCACTACTGTACTACTATCAGCGCAGTAGTGCTATAGTGTAGTAGTATATGTATAATAGTGCTGAGTAGTGCTGTAGTACAATAGTGCTTCAAGATACTCCTAGTGCTCGGTAGTACTTTTCTACAAGGGCTAAGAGGTGGAGTTTTCTATCAACTCTAATCAATAACGTGAGATTTTTGAGTATTAAAAGTATACGTGAAAGGGATAAAGGAAATTGAGGTACGTGACGATGACTCGAGAATCCGTTTGGAGGTGAGGCATATAAAATATTTGAAAGACTGAATTTCAAAAGGACACTTAAGAGTAGACAAAAAAAAATCGTTAAAAGGGAAGAAACAATAGATGAAGCAAATAAGACGAATAGCCGAAAATAAGGTTTTCAGGAATATTCAGGAAAATATATGTAGAAAACTTTATACTTAAAACAAATTCTTAAATAGCATATACCAGGTCAACTTATTTATTTGTGAACGAGCTAATAATAATTATTACTAGCTAATAATACTTAATACTTAAAATGTGACTTAACAATAGTTACGTAACAGCACTACTGCGTTGGTGTAGTAGTACAGTAGTGCTGACAATGAGTAGTGCTGTAGTACAGTAGTGCCTCAAAATATTCCTAGTGCTTAGTAGTATTTTTCTACAAGGACGTGCGTTTGAGTTGACTCAATTTTTTATCAGGAATAATGCTATATGATTAGTGAGCGGTATTTTAGAAACATCCTATATATATATATAATATATATACACATACATAAAATCATATATAATATGTTAATAAATTAAAATACGTCATGATATTGATAACTTGAACAGATTTTATAATGTTACGTCGTGAGTTTTATGTATATATACATATTGAAGTATAAGTATCATCTGTAAAGGTTTGTGTAAACGTATAATTAATGTTATATAAATCGAAATAATAATTATATATTTGATAAAAGAGGAAAGAAAAGTCTATTTATTATCAATATCTATTAGTATTAAATGCGTTAATATTAATAGAATTAAAAGTATTGAATATTAATTAAAATATAATTTACTCTAAAAAATAAATGTAACTTATTATAATTGTAATAAATTTCTTGAAAACATTACAATCTAATTATGCTGTTTTTGTTGGCATTTTATTGCCGTTTATTTATCTTTTTTATTCATTATATTGATAATTTTTTATGACAGATATATGCAAAATATTCTGATGAGATAATAAGATAAAAAAACCAAAACGGTAATATTATATAATGCTTTTATCAGTACGATAATTTATTAATATTTTGCAGTAAACTATGTACATAACATAAAATTTATTTAAGGTATAAATTTGCCTATAATTATACATAATACGATATTTAATAATTAAAATCATGTAACAATTTTTCAAACAAATTTCCAGACAAAATACATGTTTAAAACATGTCTTTTTAAGACATCTCTTTAAAATTTTATAAAAATATAGATGTTGTAAAGTCGTTTTTCTGATTACTTTATAAGACGTTTTGAAAATTTTACGACATTAATAATCCCTTTCTTATATATTGTCTGTGATAATTACAATTTTATATCTACCTCTTGAAATGCTTTAGATGAAACTGATATTATATTATCTGCATCACTTGGATAAAAATTCTCTATCCATCGTTACAAATTCATTCATTTATTATTTGCGACAGGCGATTGTAGCGAAAGCATGAAGAAATTATATCTCGCTGCTGTAGCAGGTATGTGTTTATATTGGGATAATTACAGAATAGAAAGAAATTTCTCGACAGAGTTGCTGGATATTTATTTAATGATTACGTAAAATAAATTAATCGCTTTTATAATTGAAATTTATTTAATTCACTTTTATTTAATTTGTTTAAATAATCTTTTAGTTTGTGTGCTAATTAACTAATTTTTGCCCGAGATACTTTGTAAAATTATCTTCTCCTGCCTAATTAATAAAATATATGATATATGATATGTTAAATCTTCTTTAAAATAATCTATTATTTTAATAGGAAATTTAGGTGTGCTATCAGCATCCTTATTTTTGGGTTGGGCATCACCATCTTTACCTTTAATGATACATGGTGGTGATACTGATTATCCTATACGTTTAAACATAGAAGAAGCCTCTTGGGTGACATCTTTAATTAGTATTGGTGCCGCCGCGGGTAGCGTTATTTCTGCATTAATCGTGAATATCATTGGCAGGAAGAAAACCATGTTATTTACGGTTGTACCCTCAATAATTGCTTGGTTGTTAATAGCCTTCGCAACATCATCGTGGGTAATTTAGTAATTGCAATATTCATTAAATATATTCGAATATCTTTTACAAAATAATTTGTTGGATGTATTGTATAAAAACATTGAAAGTTAAAATTTAACATATTCATGAGATATCAGTTCTATATTGTATCATGATCCAACTAGAAAGGATTGATCAATTGATGTCAATCAACGTTGAATTTGCAGCGTTGATTCGAGATTGATCGATTAATTATTTCTGATTCGGAATATTCATAATTACGATTATTTTTGTCTTTCAAGAAAAATTTTTTGAAATTTGAAAGAAACATTTTGAAAGCACATTTAAGTTTTACACTTTAGTTTCTTATATAGTATAGTTTCTTATATAATATAGTCGATTTTCTTTGAATATTTCGTAACTTTTAGTTTAAGTTCCATACTTTATTTGTCTGTAATTACAATGAGAAATTTGAAAATTGTTTACAATTTTTTATAATTATAACGATAATTAGCATGTAATTAACGAATAATTACAGCGTTTGATTCTACTGTAAGAAAAATTTATAGCAAGAGAATTTGATGTTACAAAATATATTTAAAATATATAATTGTGCAAACTAAACATTATTTGAAGAAATTACTATATCTCTCATTTGGACGATATATATTTACTAGAGTATTTGTTTTAATTTCTTATATAATTAAATCCACAAAAAAGATGATTTTCTGAATTTTGTGAAAACTGAATAAAACTTATGAACAAATATGTAGATAACAGATATGCTTAAAAATTCCATATATAAACAAATATACATGTAAAGTTTCTGTGTAATATATTATATTCCATTAAAAAAAGAGATCACAATATATCTTTTTGAATCCGGAAGATAAAGTTGCTCGAAGTATAAATGATCAATTTAGTCTATTCAATCTCTTTATTTTTTCTATTCTTTCTCTGTTTTCTAGGAGCTATACATATCGAGGTTTACATCCGGAATAGCTGTGGGCATCATGTCTATGGTCACTTCTATGTATGTGAGCGAGATATCGCCGGCTGACATTCGCGGCAATTTGGGATCTATACTAGCAGTCGCTGGGAAACTCGGTATTTTGATCGAGTTCACGATAGGTCCGTTTCTTTCCGTGAGAAATCTCGCCCTCGTCTCTTTGGCGGGACCATGCTTATTTCTGGTCACTTTTATTTGGCTACCGGAATCCCCATATCACTTGATGCGTTGCGACACTAAGCAAAAAGCCATAAACTCTCTTATTCAATTAAGAGGTAAAGAAGATGTTTACAAAGAGGCAGACAGTATTGAGCAATTTATAAAAGATGATTTGGCTAACAAAGCTGGTTTTCGTGAACTCTTATTTATACCAGGAAATCGCAGGTAAGATGTCAAACTTTAATCTGTGGCTTTATTAAAATTAATTAATTAAATTTTAATTCACGAATCATAAAAATTCTCTCTTTCAAAGATTTCCTGTTATCACGAATAAAAAATATTAGATATTGGATTTAAAAAATTTACAAATAAGTATTATGTATAAATTATTTTTTATGTATGTATAAAATAATTATATTTGTAATAATTACAATCGTTGGAGAACATTAAAAAGTTTTTTTATTAATTAATTTCTATTATGTCTATATACATATAGATATACATATATAACATATATAATGCTTAGAGTTATAATAACATTTAATAAAATTAAAACATTTTGATAATAGAACGATCCAATTGATAAATTTACTCGAATTATTATTATATATTACAGAGCTTTAATAACGTTGCTATGCCTGGCTTTAGTTCAACAGTTGAGCGGCTCTCAAGCCGTAATGCAGTACGCTCAAATAATTTTCGATCAGATGCACGGTAATTTGGAGGGTAAATACTTGACTATAATGCTAGGCGCCATGCAACTAGTTTGCGCGATCGTCAGCATGTTCATCACCGATTGTAGCGGCAGGAAGTCATGGCTGATGATCTCCACCATCGGTTCTGCATGTTCTACTGCCATGGTTGCGACATACTTTCATCTTCAATACTATCACGTGGATACCAGCAATATAATGTGGTTGCCTGCCATTGGCGTCATCTTATACAGAGTTATGTTTAGCCTGGGTTTGGGAGTGTTGCCGTTTATTATGGGCGGTGAATTGTTTCCCATGAACGTAAAGGCCCTCGGCATTATGATGGGCACAATGATGATCCATATCACAGCCTTTGTCGTGGAGAGTTTGTATCTGGTTGTAAGCGAAAGTGCCGGTATGCATACGCCATTCTGGATATTCACCACATGCAGCCTCGCTGGTGCTTTATTCGTGATTCTTTATGTACCTGAAACCAGGGGCAGGACACTGGAGCAGATTCAAAAGAAATTGCACGGCTCGTCGAAACAAAAAGAACTCAATTTTTCTACGACGAATATTTGATAAATATTGATTTGCGAAATATTCGCTTTTTAATTGAGAAAAGCTTTTGAGGTCAGTTTAAGTTGAAAAAAAATATTAGATTTTGATAAATATTTGTTTTAATATTTGTAAGTATCTAAATATTTACTGCACATATACTCATAGATATTTATTGGGTATAAAAACTACTAATTTAATTTTGAACTATTATTTCTTATATTGAGTAAATATTTACTGTAAGTACATGTTACTCAGAGTACCATTCAAAGATATATGTATTAAGATTTAGTATATTTTTTCAGTATGTACTTATCTCTACAATATTATTTTCCTTATATAAAGTTTTTTGCTGAGATATTAAATTTCCTGTCTTGACGATGTCAAATATGTTTATATTTATAGTTTATAGTCATTGTACATAGAGTGTAGTAGTTTATAAAAAAAGTTTGTGTGGTATATTTTTTTAACAAATATTTGTTGTTATTGTAAAAAATATAATATCTATTCATGTTGCGCAAAACATACAGAGAATTGTATAATATCTAATTAAATGTACAGATTGCTATTCACATATTGCTTTTATTATTTTAACTTTGACGATTGCTAATAAAATTGAAATCATCATTCTTCATTTTGAAAGTATTTTCACCGGACAAATTTTATTAAAATGTGTACATTGTAGTTATAAGGCTCTTGTCAAATGTAAATGTTATTATATTCAATTTTAAATAAAAATGCTTCTTTGGCTTTATAAATAAAAATGTCTTAGAATATAATATATTTAGAATGAAAAGGATTTCGTAAATAAAAAATAAATATTTGCAAATAAAATCTATAAAAAATCTTTATAAATTAAATTTATAATAAACATCTTTCTTCGTTTTCTTCTATCTACTTTATTAAATTACTGATATATACTTTATTAAATTACTGATATATACATATATATATATATATATATATGTATATATTAAATCATCGTCAAAACTTTTTCAAACAATTTTTATAGGAAATTTAGGTATGCTGGACTTATATTATATCTACCTACATCGGGCGGACATCATTATTATTACTTTTACTGATGAATGGTGATGATGCTCGTGCGTTTAAATTTGAGAGAAATCTCTTGGGCGACATTTCTTTATTTGATATCGATGTCGCCGTGGGTTGCGTTATTTCTGTATTGATGGTGAATGACATTGGCAAAAAAAAAACACCATGTTATTTACGATTACGTCCTCAACAATTTCTTTGTAATATCGTCGTTGATAATTTAATAATTGCTACATTTGTTAAGTACAACTGAATAGCTTCTACAAAATAATATGTTTTATACTAGGTCATAATACTCTTTCATTTCAAACAAAGTTTTCCCAAGCCTTTCAAAATTTCTCGAAGTTTGGGAGTACATTACAGAAGTACATTTAGATTGTACACTCTAGTTCTTAACGGCATAATATACTTTCCTTTGGACCTCTTTGAATGTTTCACAACTTTCTGTTTAAATTCCAAACTTTATCTTGTTGTAATATATGTATAATCAAACTTGTAAGCACGATAGTCTTTAATCGACAAGAAATAGTTTTCTTTTTAGTTAACAAGCCCCTTGTTTGAAAGCTAATATTAACGTTAGACAAATCAGCTAATTACAGATGTAATAGAATTCAAGGAAATAGTGCTTTTAACAAGAAAATTATTCAAAATTATTTACACAATTATAACTTATAACGGTAATTAGCTTATGACGTAAAGGATGACTACACGTGCTTTACTGTGAAAAGGACTTGTAGAGAATTAATTGATATCGGAAAATATTTAAATGTAGTATACAATTGTGCAAATTAAACGTTATTTGAAAAAAATAAAATAAAATAAAAAATGCTATATATTTCATTTGAACAATATAATTTTATATTAAAAGATACGTAATAAAATTTCTTCAAAAATTGATTTTGAATTAAACTTATAAAGGTATATGCGATATTCAATTGCATAGAGAAACAAATATGTTTATAATATAAATACATATTAAGCTCTCATATAATAATGTTACTTTTTAAAAGAAAGAGGAAGACGGTGGTATTTTTTTTAAATGTTAAAAATAAATTGCTCGAAGTAAGGATCAATTTGGCTTGTTCGATTCCTTTATCTTTCTGTTCTTTCTCTGTTCGCAGGAGCTATATGTATAAATTAAGGTTTTATATGTCCGGTCTGTGTGGCTATGGGCATCGCTTATTCAATAACATCAATGTATTTTCGCCGGCAGATATTAAGGGTATTTTGGGTTCTATGCTGACGGTTGCTGTGGAATTTGGCACTTTAATTGAGTTCACGATGGGCGTGTTTCTTCCGCAATGAGGAATTTTGCCCTCATCTTTTTGGCGAGACCGTATATATTTGTGGTTGTTTTCATCTGTTTATCGGAATCCCTATTTGATGAGCTGAGACTCAAAGTAGAAACTCTCCTTGAATTGAGAGGTAAAGAGGATGTTTATATTCAAAAGGAGGCAGATATAGTATTGATCAATTCGTAAAAGCTGATTTGGCTAATAAAGCTGATTTCTACGAACTTCTGTCTGTATCGAGAAATTGCAGGTAAGACATCAAATTTCGATCTATCGTTATATCAATGATTATATTAAACGATCGCAAATCAAATGAAATTTTCGAAGCTTCCTTACTGTAGTTCTATTTTGTTTTTAAACTTATTTTTTATATTTCCGTATTTATTAATAAATTTTTTGAACTTTGTTTTTTTTCTTAGACTAACTATGCATCGAGCAAAGGGATTTAGAAATCGTGTATTGTAGTCGGTGAACGTAATTACGTTCACCGACTACAATACACGATTTCTTAATCCACTTTATAATAACGTGGAGCAAGATAAATAAAGTTATAGCTGTAGTTTTTTAATAAAAAACATCCATCGATATATTTACATAATAACACAGGAACTTCACGGAGATCATACAGCAATCACATACATAGATTTAGACTATTAACAATTGCATGTGATTGTGCTTCGGGTACATCCATACTTTTCATGAGCAATGATTGTGTTCCTCGTCGCTCGACGGTAAGGATTGATTAACCACGATCGTTATAGCATCATTAGGTTGCAGCCAAGTCCTCGTATTATACTCAGTTTTCGGTGAATGTTTTATTGGAATCTCTGCTACTGGCGTTTCTGAAAATTTATGAATAAATATATCTTAAAAGCCCTTTCCTATCTATTAAATTATTTATACTGCAAAGTTTAATAAACAAAAATACAAATTTTAATAAATACTTTAACTGTGTTCATTTAATTTTCTTGAAAAGATAATTGTCATAAAAATATTCACGAGATATTTTATAATATAATGTTGACACACTTTTATCATTATTTAAAATTAATTAGGGCACATAAACCTTCAGAGAATATGGAATAATTAATTTTTGTTTTCCTGATAGTGAAACATATATTTGAGATATAGGTATGACAGCTTTGGAAGCTTGATATTTTTTGTGGAATATTTCATATATTGTACTTTTAATTTTTTTACACTCGAGTTGAGACGAATTCGCTCCAGTACCAATTTTCAGTTACAAGCGAGAAGAGAGAGCTTTGTGACAAGTGAAAATTGATACGCAAGTTTTAGCAGGTTGATTTATGAAAACGGCACGTGCCGCGAAGTATGATATAGGTACGTATACAAGCGCGATGTTTCATCAGTGATAGCAAAGATGCAACGTTTCTTCTCTCTTCTCATGTTTCTAGATTTGTAACTCTATTTTTAGTTCCTTCCGAAACGAGATATGCATGTACAATATGTACATACATACATACACACTCACCTGGCCTCTCTATCTGACTCGGCGATGACGATGTATTATCTGGAAACTGGACGTGCTTCCTCGATACTCGACTCCCGGTAGGACTTTTCTCCGATAACAGAAGATTGTGACTCGCTGTGGGGCTTTGAGTCGGTGTTGCTTTTGTTTCATTATTAGTTATGCCTCTTCGTGAACTTAGACAGGACGTAGTGGCGGTTGTAGTCGTTGGCTGAGTTACGTATCTCACTACTGGAACCTTTAATGAATATTATGTGAGATGTAAATGTATTATATACATGGTGGAAGAGTTATTTCATAACGTGGATTTAGCAAAACAACAATAGAGATTACTCGTTGAAAAGCTTAAAAATTACAGTCAGTAGGTATATGTTTGTGTTTTTTGTTATTATAGAATTGCCAAGATTATAGGAAAATTTTGTTTATATAGGGATAATTTTAATTTATATGAGAAAAGAATCTAATGCGACACATCTATTCGACGTAAAAGGAATATTACAGATATAACGGAATCTGACAGACGATTCCCTTGGGATATTGATCACGTAACAGTTGCTATAGCAATGTTCATATTTTTTTCATAGATTTCGGCTATCTTCTTATTTCATTTTTTATACCATCCGCTATTATGTAGGAGATAGATACAAACTTTTGTATAATTAATTCGAGATTCGTTCTACAAATAGATCTGTTGTTTGCGAACTATCTCAACACATGACTTCTGTAGTTACATCTTAATTAGGTAAAATGTTTGCAAACAACGAGACAGCTGAATAATTTTACTCAACTTTCCTTTCGTTCTATTGCTCTCTTCTTTACATAACTTTCGGAATACTGACCCTGTAATCGTGTGCAGCGGTGCCGCGACCAGAGGAATATTCTTGATATTGCGAGATGACACATAGCAACGCGTATATCTGTAATAATATCTTACTTAGTTACGTAGAGAGAGATTGCATACAATTCTATAAATGTATAAATTTTGCCAACGATGATATTTGGTTTATATACACTGACAGCAAAATAATATTTCAATAGCATTATTTTAATTAAAAATAATCTTGTTGATTTAATAACAATATTAATAAGACAAATAACATTTTATATTAATATGAAAGCATAAGTATTTGTTTGTGGTGTTATTAAATTAATAAAATTATTTTCAATTAAAATAATGCTGTTATTATAGCTTCTTTTTTCAGAGTTGGTTTAATATTCAACTTTGTTTTTACTTATTATTTCATATTTATACTTTATGCATTAAAGTTATAATTAAATGATTTCTCACAAAACCAAATAAATCCAGTTTAAAAACATCTGTATTATGCCGCCAAATTGTTTTCTGTCACATCACGTCGTGAACAATTTTGTTTCTGCAAAAATTAAACAGAAAACAGAAAATATAAGACTTTAACATTTGCAAAAACAAATAGTTTGTAAAATATTTTAAATATAAAAAGTGAAAACATTTATTGTTTTATATTTAAAATAATATTTCCTTCTTTATTTAAAAAAAAATTAGTTAAATGTACTCACATTTAAACAAAGTAGAAAGAAATTTAGCGTGTAGAGCATAAGTTTCGTTGGATTAAAGTCAGGCTGTAACAGATCAATTTTACAGATATTACATACATGAGCTTATTTCATGTAAATAAATGTAAATGTTAAAAAGGATTCATAAGATTTTTAGAAATAATTGAAAAGATATTTATGTACATCTGTCTTCGATTAAATATGCTTTCCATGATTTATTTTAAAAGGCTGCCGAGTTTAATTTTAACATTTTTCTTGTAAAGAACAGCGATATAATAGTTGAAAGCCTTTCAAACAGCTTCATTTATAAATTCCAAACGTTTAAAAATGAAAGAGTAATAAAAAAATAAAACGAGATATGATAAAGATAAAAGAAAAAATATATTTTTTCAAAGTAAAATATTATATTTTATGTATTACAAAAAATTTTGTTAAAAACTTTATGCTACGACGGAATTAAAAAAGAAATTTATCGTGATTAAAACTCTATAAAATATGACGTTCGATTAATTATAAATTCAATATGGGGTGCAGTCTGAATATATAAAACAGATATTGATTTTCAAAAAATTATATGCTCGAGAGTGTGGGCGTAAATGAAGAAAGTTTTTTCCTGTATTCTTGTTTTCAAACTTCTCACCTCTTTTCTATCAAACTTTCAAATTAATTTTTACTTTCATTGAGCTTTTATTGATCCGGTATATAAGAAAGATTAATTTGCGATTAAACGATATATATATCGTAGAATGTAATAGAGTTAATTTCGTATCAATTATCGGCAATAATCGGATCACTATATCAAATATTTGAGACAGTTCATGAGGAACGCACATTTGTTTCCTTTTATGTTTCTTAAATATAATTTCGAAAAATTAATTATTAAAATTAATTATTATTATATACTAATAAATGGGGGAGAAAATGATATTCTCTCAGAAGGATAATGAGACAAAAAATCTTCTCGATGTATTTTATTTTATTGTAACTTTATGCGATATAAAAACAAAACAATATTAAGATTTGATCAATAATTTTTGTTTTCCTATTTAGAATTAAATATAAGATTGACTTAATTAATGTCTCGAGCTAAGAATCTTTATTTGTTATTGTAATGCACGATGTCATAGTATTTGGCACGAAATCGATGTGCAAAAATCATTTTATTCTAAATAAGATCCATTTATAAAATATTATTCTGTTGATAATAAATATGATTGTCCCTATCAAACTCTATAACAGTATTAGATTCGGAATCTTTTCTATGCGTGATAATCTGAACTCACTGTGACGATGAACATATATAAGGAATGTGCTATATCGGTGATGCAACACGTCATGACTGTGATGATCCATGGTATCAGCAACATCTTGTGATCCTGAAAATAGTTATTTATGTCGGAATAAGTAGTAGTTTATAAAAAGAACTTATGTACATATATATACAGAGAAGTGAATTTTTTATTAATAATTTAATATAAAGTTGTACATGGAAATGTAATATTGTATTAACGTGAAATTTTTTCCCGAATATTCTATGCTACACACATTGCCGCGTACTACACTAAATCTCTGGAGCTTTAATTACGTTTTCCTGATATAAATATTTTGTAAAATAAAGTAAATAAAACAAGTATACTAATGATGATTCTGTAATATAAAACGCAGCATGGAGTAATAACGTGTCAAGTATATTTATTTCCGTCGAATTAAACACTCTTTGTAACGCTCGAAAAATACTCTCATCGCATTATCGGTGTTTCTCTCGTTATTAATATTCATGAATGTGTACATCACGTTTCTTTCGCGCGCAAATCTTGCAGCTTGTTTTGTTAATAATATTCGCATCATAGTATGAAGCAAGTATTCAGAATAATTAAGATTCATGACGTGTTCTCGTTCCGGCTTTTTTTTTTACTGATTCGTCCACGTGGGTTTACAATTTTCATCGCTTATAATAATATCGTGCACGCAAAGCGGATTATCTACATAGTACATTATATTGACCGGCTTACAAATATCTACATATTCGTTATTTTATAGAAAAGTACCAAGATTATAATATTAAAAATAAATTAAGGTCTTTATCAATTAAAGCAATACTACACATCATAATAAGTAAAAGTTATAAATAGATCTTTTTTTTCAAATTTAAACATTCATCTAATTATTTTATTCAAAAAGTTGTTAGAAGTATAAAAATAAACCAGAAGTTAATTAGAAAAAGTGTTTCTATATTATTTATCTGATTTTGATATTGAAGAGAATATATATCAAACTTATGGTAAGAGAAAGAAGAAACCAGAAACTATTCAGGAAAGACGGGCTTTTCGTGAAAAACCTAAGTTAATAAACTTATTATTACATAAACACAGTGTGTATAAATTGTTTACTCAAATATCTATTTTATGTTACGTGTTCTAATGGTACGTATCTCTCGGGAATAACGCGTGTGCGTCATACCTGTAGCTTTTATATGATCCGGGAACAGCGATAATACTGTTTTATCACGTGCCAAGTGGGAGCGAAAGTATTTTCTACAGCATTCTCACAGATAGTTGAGTTTAGTTGCAATATGATAGATATAAAAAATACCACTAGAATCTCTACATTTTATAGAGATATAAACGAACAGTTTTCATATTATATAATGCAAAATAATGCAGATGCAAATTTAGCTATTCGGTCAAATGTGATCAGAAATTTTTACAAGGATAATCACAGGATTGTAAAATAATAGAACGATAATTTAATAATAAATATTAGGTAATTTCCTATCTAATAAAATAACCACTAATGCAACGAATTAATTCAACTAATTTAAATAGAAACTAGAACAATCGAAATTGTCGTGTTGAGCTCAACAGATATAATATATGATTTTACAAAGCATGCACACGCACACGTACACACACACGCATACTCAGTCATCCATGTCGGCGTCGCGTTAAGCCAAAAAGAACGGAAATACGAAGACTGATTTCGGCACCCTTGATCATTGCGGTTAGATCGCACGCTAGCGGCGCTCTTTCATCTAGTCCGCCACAACTGCAAACAATTGCCGATACGCGGCTTCCTTGATCTCGCGGTTCCTCTTTTGGTTCCGCGACTCTTAGAATTTTCAACTCGCCAAATCGAGGTTCAAATTCGGGTTTTTTCGGAAACCCGAGTCTTCCCGATATTACGAGGGATCGGTACATTCTTTCCGAAGTCGACCACGGTACTGTGAACGTCGAGCGAATTCGAGAACGATTTTGAGTATTAGTGTACGGTGCGTGTGTAAAGTGCGTGGCTCAAGGCAATCACCTGAGGCGGTGCTACTAGGTAGCTCAAGGTATTGTCCCAGGCGTAGTCACGGATATCTACATGCGAAAACGGAATCACGTTCCGATGCAGTGATCCGATACGCGCATCATCTGAACGTGCGTGAGTTTAGACGCTTAACGCGCCTACGTTGACTGTTTTACAATAAACTTTATTAACTTGATTCTGTGTGACACTTCTTTAGTAGTTGAATATCCTTACACGAAACTACGGTGCGAAACAGTAATTGTTTTGTGCTGATCTAGCGAGAACATTTTGGTGCCTCCTGTGAGGTATTCCTCACACACACGCAAGTGTAATTGTGCCATACGGACCATAGACCGCCTGCTTCACGTTCATAACGGATTAATAACATCGGTGCGGCTGGTTGAGTGTAAGTCGTTCGATTCAATTTATCTTATTAAATTATGGCTGAGAGACTTAAACTTCTCGTGCAAAAACGCACCTCTTTAAAGGCGCAAATCACGGCTCTGACGAATTTCCTCGACAAAGGCCGATACGATAATAATGCGTTAAAATTGCGTGTGGCGCGGCTAACGGAATTATATCATGCATACGAGGACTATCATGACGAAATCGCGATTCTGGATTCTAACGACAGTCATCAAGCGGAATTCACAAGCATATACGAACGATTTTATTCAATCGCGAGTAGAGTCGAGAGCATTGTCAATCCGGCGGATACGTCGGGCGCCGGTGGTAGTATGACGAGTGAAACAACTTGCGTCGGTAACGCGGTAACCGTAGTTGCGAGCAAAAAACGGAAAGTAAAATTACCGGAAGCGCCGCTGCCTACTTTCGATGGCAAATTTGAGGGTTGGCTCTCATTCAAAAATGCGTTTTCTAACATGATCGGTGACCAACCAGATTTATCAGATATCGACAAATTGCATTACTTAAAGTCGGCGTTGACAGGTGAAGCCGCGAACAAGATAAGAATTTTTTCCGTCGATGGAATAAGTTATTCTAGCGCTTGGGCATTATTGGAGCGGTCGTACGAGGTGAAGCGCGTCTTGATTTCGAGACATCTCTCATTATTAGTAAATTTACCCGCGCTGGAAAAAGAGAATACCAGCGGTTTGACAAAGCTCGCCGATGATGCGCAACAGCACATTGCGTCGTTGAAGACGCTAGGCGTTACGGTCGGTTCCGAGATGATAGTTCATTTAATAGAAAGCAAATTGCCAAGATACGCTATGGACAAGTGGGAGGCGGCATTAGATAGAGACGAGTTTCCGAAACCCGATCAAATTTACGAGTTCATTTATAAAAGGGCGGTTTGCGCGTCACGATGCGAAAAGACGAAGATTTCGGAGTCGGATAAGGAAAAAGGCGGGCCCCCGGCAAAAAAGACGCGAAATAATTCGTCGAATCGGGCGTTTTTGGCGAAAACATCAAATGCTTGCGTTATATGTAAAGCCAGACGACACCCGCTGTATCTTTGCGACAAATTCAAACAACTGTCAGTGCGGGAGCGTATCGAGGCAGTGAAAAACGCGAGACTTTGTTACAATTGTCTGCGATCGCATCGCGGAACTCCATGCAAATTTTCAAACTGCACCGTATGCCAAAAACGACACAATACGCTTTTGCATTCTGAAGAACGCATGACTAAGTCCGAGACATCACATCTCGATACCGCTCAAACTAAATGACAGCCTATGTCGTCCGACGGAGAAGACTACTGCTACTCTGCAAAATTGACTTGTATTTTTTTAATAAATTACAAATGATGCATTGATTGTTGCTCCGAAATTTCGCCCTACCTTGTATAAGCCGTACAAAAGAAGAAGGCTGCACAGCACGCCGCAGCAGGAGCAGATAAGCATCATTCCGTTGAATTGAACCGTCGCTGAAGCAATGTAAGCAATACAATATCGTTTAAGCAAAGCCGACTACTTAAATGTAGACAATTCCATGCGCGGGAATCGAGAACTTTCGTTGTAATTGAAACTACAGAATATTGTGTGGAGCGAAAAGAATTAGATATCGTTAACTCGCTATAATACCAACTACTTGCTATCTTTTATCTACTTACTCGGCGATATCGTCCCTGATTCCAGAAAGCTGGCCGATTCCGGTAGGGAAACAATTCCTTTTAGATACTGACTCTCCTCCCAAAGAAGCATTCCGGTAGTCGATGCTAACAACGTGAAGTATATCTAGAATTTGGGATATTGTTATTAATGTAATATTTATAAAATACAGTACATTAACGTAATAAAGATCGATCGAGGCATTTCGAGGCAACATTAAAATCTTGGTAGTGCTAAAATTATTTGCAGAATTTTATGATAGCTATCGGAGAATGTCTAAGGCTACGTTTCAGTTGATATTTATTTCTTAGATCTTGTTTATGATGTAAAAAGAAAAATGTAACATTCTCATGAATGTGCAGTAGGAGAGTGAATTTGGGGCCAAATTTTATTGGCTGTTCCATTATATTAACGCTATTATACGCAGGAAAGTGCATTTGAGCTCAAATTTGATTGGTTATTTCCTGTATTGTTATATATGATATATGCAATTACATCTTTCTGTTTACATCATGCTTGGAATCACTTTATCTTTATATGCTTATAAAATATGTTAAATAAGGAAAAATGCTCGCAAGCGTTGTAAGCGTCAAATGAAATGCGCTCTAAATGTGTGTGTATTCATATAAGTCAATTTACTTCAATAAAATAGTTAATTAAGATTAACTTATTAACGTTATTAATAAGTACCGTAGATTTTTTTATTTTGACTTTTTAGATTCGAATAAAGTTTTAAAAACCGAGCGTGCTATTTATAGAGGTTTATATCTTTATAAAAATAAAAAGGGATCCAAATGGGGTCGGCGGCCCACAAAGGGTAAAACTGGTCGAATAATGCATAATAATCCGACATATCCTCGTATAAGCGTTATGCTATTAACTACGTTAACATTATAACATTCGCGATTTAATCTGTCCCCATTGTGTCGCACATTTAATTGAGCAAATCTATACCAGTCCCGTTGTTCTTCAACCTATGCATCGATATTTTAGATATTGATTTCACGAGGACGGGAAAAGAAAAGAGACAACAGGCAGATAACGCCAGCTCGATATTCAGAGAATAATTCGATTTCGCGTCAGTAAGCTCGCTAGCAATCCTGCTGGCAATTTGTGGGGCGGAGTATCATATGTATGCTCGTCGCAATAATTCGAGTTAGTTTAATTCGGATAGCATCGGCAGGGGAGATCTCGATGGTATCCAATTCTATGCGGGCGTCTCGTGGTCGGCACCGCGATAATTCACCGATATTAAACCAACATTCCTCTTTTCACCATCCCAATATTCGTTTTTTCTCTTACCGCATACTCGAGATAATTGCGCGCCACAAGTGTTCGCAGCACGTAATTTCTAGTATTTCATTTATAAAGAGGAAATACGCGGATTGCATCGCTTATGGAAGACAAAATTAAGATTTCCAAAATTACAGTTTTGCAATTCACTCTTTCAGAGCCACTCGATTTTACGTAATTATTTAAATTCAGACGTTTCTCTTGTCAGAATTATGTTTCATTTACCGATATTGTAATAGTGCGAGAAATAAAATCAAATCAGTTGGGCGCGAATATAATATCGCGTTGAAATTATTGGGTTAATACAGGATGGCCTTATACGATTTGATACATCGAAATATGATCACATTAGAGAACGAGCCGCGAATTCGAAATGTCGAGAAATGTTAAATCATATCAAATTTGAGTTTAAACTATCGCACGTGAGAAGCCTTGATGCTGAGTTTGTGATTTGATTCACTGTAGCTTCCTCTAATTTGTACAAAATCGGAAAAAAAATTCTTACGAACTCACTTGTGAACACTTTAACAACAAATTTATACTATCACAGAAATTAGACTGTATATTATTTATTTTTTAGATTTAAATTCATCTATCAGAATTCTCAATAAAAAAATCAATTGCGTCGATCCGATATTTGTTCTTAAATAACTAATCTTACTAAACATGAAAAAAGTGCTGCTCTTCTATGGAATATATTCTTAACAATCAAATACTTTGTTAATTTTGTACAAGGCAATTTTTTTATTTTTTGCTATAATCAGGAATCAATACAAGAAATTTAAACATTCACTTATTTTTATTATTTTATTGACAATTTAGTGACTTATTAAGTATATATATGTTCTTTTTTTCTATTAAGCTGATTTTTCATCCTAAAATTCAAAACACCTTTAAAACTGATGTGATACGGTAATTTGGTTTATTGTTCTTTGTGATAAAAAATCTATAAGAAATATCTATTCTGGTTAAAGTTACTTGATAATTTTTTGTGGTCCTGTGTAATCAATACGGTATTTTACTTTCAGGTATCATACTCTTAATATAATATTTAAAATGTACAAAAAATTGCTAATTGTTGGAATTTCACTTTTAAATTACATTCAATGAAATTCAAACAGACAGGAATTGTTCTTGAAAGTAATGGTATTTATTATTTTTGTACTTTAGAGAGAGAAGCATCGTGCCAGATTTGCAAAATTAGTTTAGTTTTCCATTTTTAGTTTCTCAACCTTTAACTGGTGTCGTGAGTCCATTTTCTTCATGACGTCATTTCAGAATTGATATAAAAATATATAGAACTGTTTTTTTTGATAAGGAAATATAAGAAAAGAGTATTACTGTAATAATTTTTCTTTATATTAATAGAATATCATGCTAACTTCATAGATCCATCCAAGCTAATTCTCAAGTTTTTACGAGTCTGAATTTCTCCGAAGTAAAGAAAAAAAATTCAGAAGACCTCAGAGAATAAGTTTTCTCGTTGGGCACTTTATACTTAGCGAACGAATACCGAGCAAACAGTAAATGAGCGAACGCGAATGTTCGGACATTTCTCATTTGTGTTCGGAAGTCGTTTATTTCCTTTCTTGATGTTTCATCGAGTCACCGCAGGTATTCGGTCAGATTCAGTTGGCCGTCTCCGAGATCACCAGGGAGCCATTAATTAATTAAAAGGATCAGATTTAGTGTTCGTGTTGTGCATATAGCAATTGAACTTGTGCGACATTTGTGCAATAATGAATATCAACGACAAACTATCGCGTTTGTAGGTATATATCCGGCTGAAGGCGAACAGAGCGTAAACAAAGTTCTCCGGCTCTCCTCGCGCGAAATTTCTGGGAACCGATATACTTTGATACGTCACGCGAGCGGGGTGCAAAGCGGGGGAGCGCGCGCGTCCCACAGTTCCGTTCGGCGTCGCATCGCGCTTGGATCACGGTCGATAGTGATCGCTTCGCCGCGTTTTTCTCTATTCCGTTATTTATTCGTTCGCGCGCGGCGAGTTTTGCACTTTCGAGCGTCGAGGTCGTGACGGATCTCGTGACGGTTGATCCATCACGGTATATCCGCGATCGACACGTCGTTTGATACGCTCGGCCGACCGCGAATCGGGTTCGAACGAATCGCCATTGTTTCGCTCCCTCGACATGCACGCGCGTGTCCTCTCGGAGCGTTGAAATTCGCTGATAGACGACGTCAGTCTCGGTGCTTTAATCGGTACAGGCGAGCGCAATTAGTAAGTGTCGGTTGAGATTCGTTGGCTGATGGGGACGACCTGTCGCGGCGCGCGAAGTAGACGCGGAATTTGTGTGCTCCACGCGGACGTTTTACATCGTCCCGGATTAAGTATCGATGGAAATCGAGAATAATCACCGAGGGATTGCCGAGGGATCATCGAGAAGGATTACAGGAACGAGGTTTTTTTGCTGTTCTTTTTAACTTGAGTAACGGTAAGTGCTCCGCTATGTTCGTCATAACCGTCACGTTTTGAAATTTTCATTGGCCAATCAGCCGCGGAAGTGTAATGGAAGTGTTGCGCGCGAGGATCGGTAATGGCGGTAATTTCGCTAGTTTTATTTAGCATTTAAGCACACGGTGGCGAGGAAAGGGTCGTTACAATCGAAGCAGTAAGCCGTAAACTGTAAGAAATTGATCAATTAAGGACCGCCTACAATGGGAGGGTAATATGATATAATAAGTTGTAAGAAATTGGCTAATCACAGCCGAATGTGAGGAGAACAATTAATTATGATTGATAAATTTTTTACAGCTTACTTTTTACTATATCTAGTATTTTATTTTCATCGTACGGACCATTGACGATTTTTCTCCTCATATTCGACCGTGATTGATCAATTTCTTACGGCTTATTATCTCTGCGTTTTACACGGCTCTTGAAAACGTATATTCAGATTAAAAACGAAGTAAGGTCAAGAGACTTGTTAATCGTATTACGTTAGACTTTCTGCACTTAGGAAATAAGTAGATAATTAGACGTTGAGAGAAAGAAAGTAATATAGGAAGTACGAAAGACTCGGCTATACAAAAAACAAATTAAGACCTTATTTATACTTAATTCTCTACTTTTAATTATTTCATTTATTTAATTAATCTACTTAAAACGCTGTCTATCTTGATTGATAGGTATATTATTGCTATCGATACGCTACTGTGAGTTTTATGTACAAGATAGATCGTTTTCATTTAAGGTAACATAAAATTTTTAATACATTTTACACTTTAATTACAAAATATTTATGATCTAGCTTTTAATGAACGCACAAATAACTTAATTATTAACTTAAAAGGAAAGCATGAATAAATGTTAAAGTCATTTTTGAAATAATTAATGTAGTTGAAGTAATATATATGTATAGATCGATATTTCCTGTAATATTTATCAATAAAATATATAATACAAAACCGCTTAAAAATTGGAATTGCTTATCAGACGTTTTCTGTTACAGTGTTGACCACCATCTAATGCGTTCCAAAATTTTATTTTGAGTAATGCTCAATTTCTTCACTTCCAGGTGAATTGCAGATTACTTTATCCAGGATAATCTCCTAGAATAGAATGGAGATATCTTCTGAATAAAGTTATCTAAAGGCGAAGAAATTGGATATAAGAGAGTTAACTTATGAGTCAATATTCATAGTCTGTTCTTATTTCAAAATCGTTTTAAATAATATGTTTCAAAATGTTATGAATAGATCACAGAGTCATATTTAATAGAGAAGACAGACCTGTATTAAATAGGTCTTGAAATAAGAATTAATTATTAAGTAAGAGCTCATGAATTATTAAGTCTTTTACTTTACAAGGGATC